AAAGAGTGCCTCAGATGTAGCAAGAATAAGAAACTTTTGTTTCCAAAATACTGCTTCCCAGTGTAAAAACATAGAAAAAAGTGTGAAACCGATGGCGTACACGCCTACGTAAGCAAAACCTCTACACTCATTCTTTTAGGTTGCACAGAACAGCATTGAGAGTTTAAAAGTGTAAGGAAATCCCAATACTGCCACTTACCTCCCATGAAAAGTTGGGCAACCCTATAAACTTCAATGTGCTTCTCTCTAAATTCTGATTCATGTCACCTACCAAACAGGGTCCTTGTGAGGATCTGCAACAATGTATATACAAGGCAGTGCACCTACTGGAGGTCGCACACATAGTAGCTATTCTTAGAGTTTCTTGGTGACATTCACCACGTTTTATAAAGACATACACTTATTCTGATGATCATTTCAGTTCCTTTATTTAAATTAAAAAAAAAAAAGAGTAAGCCTACACGGAAAGAGTTGAGATGCTTTTGGCACCTTCCCAGGCATTACCGAGTTTAAAGGTTAAACCACTTAAAACATTCACCTAATTATGCAACAAATACACAAGACCACGAGTTAGTCTGTGAAAGATTATATTCCCTTATACTTTGGTCTCTTCATCTAAATTAATATGTCTCAGTTCCAAAGCTCATCGCTGTTCTTCAAATGATGTCCGATTCCTCCCCTCAGCTATCATCAATAATACGGAAATCCCACTGGTTAAAATTCACTTTCTGGAGATGATAGAGAGATACAGAGATAAAGGGATGGGTAGAGAGAGAGAGAGGAATAATCTTCTCATTCCACTGGCCGTATGTCACCCCTCAGCACAGACATCGTCACTGTAACACCGAGTAGTACCAGAAAGGTGTAGCAGAGTATGTCAAAAGCGGGAGTCCATTAAACCACAGCCAAGTCGCCTCATTCTCTAGGAACTTATCTAGTGCACGAAGCAAGTCTTTAAAAAGTGTAACACGATTAGTAGGCTATTTCATTTCTAGTCAAAGGTAAAGCGTCGTTGCTTCTGCATTTTAAAAACGCTCTCTACTTTAGGATTCCGTTCCAGGTTCGAACAGCCCTCGTCCCTTCCCGCCACTCTGAAAGCTACCATGCTTTCCAGGACCCCAGTTCTACTCGGAACCGAAGCGATCGGCCCGCGCTGGCTTCCTCGCCAGACCCCGTCGGGGTGACATACCTGCTCCCTGGAGATACAAGGCAGCGACGGTCTCCTGAACATTTTGCAGCTGCCGTAGTAACCGGCGGCAGTCTCTCCGAGCGACACGCAGCTGGACCGCCTCCGGGGTCTGATCACAGGCACTTTGTCCTCCGCGGCGCTGGACAGCCGAGGATGAGGAGGTGCTTCCCTGATTTGGAAGAAGTGATCCAACCCCAGGGCCAGCAGGCAGCCCGCGCCCCCGACCAGGCAGGACAGCAGCGGCCGG